CTCCGCTTCTCTCCTTCTCTCCCTCTCTCCCTCTCTCCTTCTCTCTCTTTCTCTCTCTCTCTCTCTCTCTCTCTCTTTCTCTCCCTCTCTCTCTCTCTCTCTCTCTGTCTCTGTCTCTGCAGGAACATGCTTAGTTTAAGATTTAAGATGAGGGAGCACTCGTCCCGCTGAGTAGCAATGTTTCAGCTGTCTCTTTGCCTCACGGCTGGAGCTGCACTTGCCCTCGCATTTTCCAACAGGAGCATTCCGGTCGCAGCGGAGCTTACCTTGTGAAGATTGTCCGGCCCATTTACAAGGCTGACGAATCGTTTCTGAATAAGGATTCCCAAACAAGTCCCTAAAAGTGATGTTCACCTATCTGTCTGGCAACACTCTTGCGTTCAAATGTTCGGTGTAGAGGGATTTGGTTGCTGACCCGCAGCGCACCCAGCGCCGCGCCTCCCACTGTGGTTCGGGGCTGCGCATCTTCGACGAAAGTCGCGTTGCGTTCTTTCCACGGTCACAGCAGCCGCATCGTAAAATCCAATATTTTGGCACTTCCCAACTTGCTGAATTCGGCTCCCACCACACTGCCGTGTGTGTTGAGTGTTTGGGGCAGAAGCCACACTTTCAAGGGCATTCTGGACCTAATGGGGCGGTCGTCGGGAGCTTCAGGAGTGCTCCTGGAACGGTTATGCAGGGCTTGGTCTGGTGTGCTTTCGCTGCTCGGGGTCCAAGCTGTCGTAGCCACTGTTCCCCAAAAGCTCCAAACCAGAAGCTGCCTCTACAGCAGAGGTCATCTTTGACGAGCATTACATCAAAGTTGGACCGGAGAACCCGACGCAGCGGCAAAAGGATGAAACTTGGCCTGTATCTGTGGCCTCGCTGTATGTCACCGACGGGAGCCGTAAGACGTTTTGGTCCATGGACCGAGGAGAAAGTGCTGAAGGATGGCTATGCTACATACCTTCCGCCGGATTGCGCCCTGGAAGAGATGTGTCAGCTCTTCAGGGCCCTTCGAAGCTGCCATCGCCAGGTGCAAACTACGACGACTGGACCTGGACTTAGCTTTTTTTAAGCCGCTGTGTGGAGGGTTGTAGAACTGTCTTTGATGGCTCAAGGAACGAGCTCTTCCAGGATCCCAAGCGGCTTCAAGCAGCTCTGCCGAGCCTCAGCTGAGGGAATTAGTCCGGCCAATCTCCGCTGCCACTGCAAATTCAAGTGCATGGCTGCATTGCTCCTAACTTGGCTGGGTTGGGAAACCTGCGTACATGGGAGCTGCGATGGTGGAACGAAGGAATCTCTTCAATCAGCCCAAACATCTTCGGTACGAGGCGCTGAAGAAGGCAGGACGACAAACGAGTGCATTGCAAGGGAGCTGTCGTGGCCTTCCTTCGTAGGTGGACTGGGCAAGTGCCCTGTACTCGATGAATGTGAAGACGCACAGAGAGATTCACTCGTGGCAGCTGGGCCTTTTTCAGAGGTCTGAGCTGTGCAGAGTCCGGCATGGAACCAGAACCAGTCCCAGAGTTCAGGGGTTGCTTGCATGGTTCCCCGACGCTGTGAAGTCAATGACGGGCTGGTGAGCACTTAGAGCACCAGTTCGGACCAGTGGCCTGCATGTTCCAAAACTGCCTTATGGTGACCCACGTCCAAGGTGGGGAGTCTTTGCAGCTACTCACCGCTTGTGGTTCCTGCATGTCTTGTGTCTCGGACGACAAGCGTGCTTCTATGAACATTGCACCAGCTTGCATCGCCAAGCCTTTATTGATCCGCAACAATATCATGGCCCCGACCGTTTCTTCAGCGCTCCCAAACCCGCACCTTGCAACATGCAGTCCTGGTGCCATGCTTACTATCGTATTTTTTGGGCTGCACTCTGACAAACGTGTGGTGAAATTGATGTGTGCCATACAGGTTCTCGCTCACATTTTGCCCAATCCCATGAAGAGAAGTGCAGCATGAGGCTATATGCCTTGTCGATGTGGTGGGTTTCTTCGCGGAGCTTCCACGACCCTGGCTCAGGCGCGCCGTGAGTCAGCAGGTACGCTTGAGTTTGTTGTATGCAGCATTGCGAATATCTATTGCCGCACATTCACATCGGGCTGCACTCATGCGTTCTGTCGGCTTGTGTCTGAGTCTGAACTAATCCTGAGCTTGGTCAGCTGACTAGGGGTGTTTTGTTGGGCGCTCACGCTGCGGAGGTTGGTCGACGCCGCTGGGTGGGGGCTCGCCATTGGTTTGCCTCTCCGCCATTGGTCTAGTGGTGCCTCGGACAGTCCTGGGGATGGAGCTGTAGCTTTTGAGGGGCTGTAGCATGTTTCAGCCAAAGAGGAAACCAGCTACTGCCATTTTAGGCTTCTAACAGTTCTGTGAGATCCTATGCTCTGCTGTTCTGGGCCTGGGCGACGGCCGGTGCAGCGATACAGTAGTAGATTCATTGTTGGGGCGGTTATCTCGAATCTATCGGATATGAAGACCGAAGAAGCACTGCTTAAGCGCTTTGGTGCCAGAGAAATTGGAAGCAAGGTGCCTCTGCACCTGGCATTCTACTGGATGAGCCGCACCTCGGGCTCCATTTTTTTTGTGTTGGTTGCTGCAGTATCACAGGATTTCAACATGCATGCGTCGAGTGGCTGGGGCTGAACGGGAGGATGCTATGCCCAGTTGCCATGATTTGAAATTCCCCGTGCAAGACCACGGAAGCAAGGGCTCGATGGCCATATGTCACTCCTGGCAGTCTCTCATGGGAGTTTCACAGCTCAAAGCTGATGACTGCAGCCTTCAACATCGTCGTTTTGTTTGATGATCTAAGAGCAACGCTCCTACACCTTCCCAGCCCTGGCCAGCAAAAGCGTGGATCGAAGGCTGGTTCACCACCGGCAGCGCCTTGCGGCCGAACTACCGCGAAGGAAGCACTTGCCAGAAGATCCAGACCTTGCTCTTGCAAGTGCCCGTCCCAGAGTTCACGTGCACGGAAGTCTAGATCCAGACTCTTCTGGGCACCCTGTGCGTTTTCTAAGACCGCATCAGCTCTCCGACACGCTGTTTCTTGTTGCATTCCTTGTATTGCTTGTTTCCTTGCATTTCCTGTTCATCCCTCATATGGCGATAGCAACGCCCGAGCTGAGTAGCGCCGAGTTCAGCATCTATGCAGAAAGCATCGTAAGCACTGTTTTCATAAGCCTCTTAGCATGGTGCTTCATTTCCGAACAGCCACGTCTTCATGACTCTATAGTGCCTATAGAAGGTTGTATGGTATATGAGCTCTACACTTGCTTCGCAAGAGGCCTCTAAGCCTGGCCCTGCTGGGAACTTGGGAACTTTGCCGCGTCTCTTCCACTCCAAGGCTTTTCTGCAATTGAGGCTGGTTCTTCTGCTCCTTTGCTGCAGCTCATGTCCCAGTGTCCTTCACTGAGTTTACAGGCTCTTTCCTCGCGGCCTGTACATGGACATGAGAGGGCTCCTCAACCTCGAATCCTTTAGGATGAGAGATGTCGGTGTCTACTCTGCTGCGATCACATGGTCACATCATATCACATCCCATCGCAAGATCCATGAGGTTCGTTCCTGTCGCCACGTTTCTGTGGGTCCGCTGGTTGGATGCTTTCGGTGACGACGAGTGGCTCAAGGCCATCTGCATTTTGAGCTAAGAGACTTCCCGGAAAGCCAGAGTTTGCACTGTAACTCGGTCTTCGGCATAGTCACAATGCGTTTTATATGTTTGAATGTTTTTCTATGATAGGCGATAAGGCGCTATGTGACTAAATTAGACAATCTTCCAATGCTCACGATTTGAGCCCGGAGTCCCGGGAGTTTGTTGCTGCGCGCTGGGCAGGTGCACCCTTTCCTTTCCTTGAACACGGCGCTGCAAGTGCACGTCTTCGTACTCTGTCGGCACGAGGATGTTCCTTGCAGGGGCCATGTCTTAACCCCGATGGAAGTGATAAGGCTGGGAGATCAACTTCTCAAAACCACTTCTCCCACGTGAACCACAGAATTATCCTGCTCTGAACGGTGCATGCAAACAGTAGCAGCTTCGCATGGAGTCGCTTCCTTGCCTTCTTTGCTGGCTGCACCTTGAGCCTTCAAGCAGCCTTGTGCCCCCTTCAATTTCTTCCGCCCTTCGCCATTATTTCACGCGTATCCGGGTCTTAAGACCCCATAATTAAGGGCCAGGTGGCTCGTTCGCTTGATGTTGAGATGCAAAGGAGCAGGAACTGACGAAAAGAAAACAGGGCCTCGCGAGACGCTCTCAGGTCTGCAGTTTTGGAGCACTCCTGATCCTCCTGCAGCCCTGCGCAAGTGGTGCTCCGTTCCGTCCAGGTTGGGTTAGCCCTGTGCGCTTGCGGCTTTGGACAGCCAAGATTAAGCATAAAGCTCCAGAGTCAAGTCCCAACATGTCCCAAGTCCCGCTCAGCTACGCCAACACCGTGGAGCGTGAAGTGCTTGCGCTGGCTCATCTGGCTGGTGATCCTTTCGGTGAAGGCCACTTCATTCAAGTCGCTGTCGGCTAGGAATGCAAGCGTACGGTGAGTTAAAGGAAATCAGTCGAGGGCGGCCAAGCCCCGGGAGCCACGGAGGTAGTATAAAAGTGCTGTCAAAAATCGTCTATGGAGGAAATAAGCTCCACCCCTCCACCACCCCTCCACCCTCCCCCCTCCACACCTGCCCTCCTCTCTCTGTGGAGGGGTGGAGGGGTGGAGGAGTGGAGAGGTGGAGGGGTGGTGGAGAAGGGTGGATGGGGCTCCGCTCATTTAAAATGGGCTTGGCGGCCCGGGCCCGAAGCCAAAGAAGGCAGTATAAAGTATCTGTTTAGGTATTTTATTTTCACCGTGCGAGTACTGGTAGCATGGCAAATTGTTTTGAGGTGTGGGTCCTTAGCAGATGTCTTGTTTCTTGACTCCACCGGGTTGGAATTTCTCGAACTCTCCTTCAGGACACTGTTGTTTTCTGCATCGCCGTGATTGCCTGTGACCCGCAAGCCCGCTTCCTCAACCGGAGGGCCTGAACAGTGAGCCTTCGAGGTTTCAAGCTAGCGGGTGTCGGAACCATTCAAAAACAGCTGCTAGTTGATTACCAGAAGTCAGCCATCACCGCCCTTGGCAGCTCTTTGCGGGCCTTGGGGGCATTGCTGCCATCGAGAGGGCGACGGCCGAGTTGAAGGTGGGGCATGCGGTCTTCCCATGCCGTTTGTTTTTGACGACTTCAAGACACAACAAACAATGAACACATAAAGCAGCGTGCGCACACACACACACATGCATGTTTCTATATATATATATATATATATTTACACACGCACACACACACATATTAAGTATATACATGTGCATATCTATCTCTATGTAATATCTCTCTGTCTCTCAGTCTGTCCATCGGTCTATCTCTCTTTCTCTCTGTCTTTCTAGCTCTCTCCATATCTCACTCCATCTCATTGTTTCTCTATCTACCTTTCTGTCTATCTGATTTGCACCAGAAGCAAGCACTGGTACCTCGACTCCGACTAGGCTAAGCGAGCATGCTCAACAGACTCTGAGTAGACCGGCCAAGCTCAGCTCCCGAGATCAGCCGCCTTGGACGTGAACCGATCGATCAAATTCCGAGCTTTTCCTTCGGCCCCAACTGGGACAAGGAGCCGGGGCGAGAGATTCCTTTTTGCGCTCTGCCGCAGGAAGTTGGTATGTAGTGCCTGGTGCCCATTCCTCCGATGTCACGGCACCGGTGCCGTTGATCTCAAGCTTTCTCACCGCACGGAGCTTTTGGAGTCAGTGCTGTTACTTGTGGTTCTCAGACCGGGAGCCTGAGAGATGAGCCCGAAGCTACGCAGGACATTATCGAGTGGGTGGCACTTTGGGGCACTGGCCTATTGTGCTATGTAGCAGCTTGGTGTCTCTTGCTTTGGATGCAACTCTCTGACTCATGTCCGCGTCAGTGGTGTGGTGGTGGTGATGAATATGATGATGATGTCGTCTTGTTCGTGAAGGGTGAGGAGGATGTGGATGTGGAGATGAAAGCGAGGAAAGTAAGCTGATGGTAGGTGGTAAGGCCACGTTGGTAGTGTTCATGATGGTGTTGATGATGGCGATGATGCTGTTTCTTGTTGATGGTGATGGTGAGGACGATTGCGAAGACCCTCGCAACAACGACAGCGATGGCGAACGAATGTCATAGGCTTCATCTTGGTCACTGAGTCATTGCCATCGACCTGTACACAAGACAGAGCCTAAGCTTTGCGAAGCTCTCAAAGCGAACCAAGGCAGACACACAGTTCTGGTTCTGCTTGGTTTGCTCGGTCGTTGGCATGCTCTTGGCTTTCCACCAGCGTTCATGGCGTCCTCTCCTCGGATCAGATCTGGTCTTTGGGGCTGCTGGGAAGCGGAGCAGCGGAGCTTTGAGGTGTGCAGCAGCTGCTCACAGAGGATGCCTTGTCCGCTGTGCCCCAGCGCTTTGCAGAGCGAGCTGCTTGATTGAAAGTAGCTACAAGTTTGGCTGCATGCATGCATACAGCGACGGCCGACAAGAAGGGTTTTGCACAACCGTTGAAGGTCATCCTCGAAGCACCCGAGGGAAGACGAAACCGCCATAGGCTCGCGGAGGCCTCGGGCAGCTTGCAGTTCGCAGTATGTAGGTACTTCCGAATCACCCGCAAGCTTCCGCGCAGGCAGGGCAGAGTTCAACCCCACCCCCCCCCCGCCGAACGCATGTTGCGGCGGGAGCCCCACATAGTAGTTGACAAACGGGCCACAAGAGCTCAGCATATGTAGTTCCAATCAGAAACGTGGACCTGAGCAACAAAACCCCTCCCCACAGCCGAAGGTCCGAACATTTCGTCCCAAACGACAACTGTTCCTAAGTTAATTACTAAGCAATACAGGCAAGTGTTACTGGCATTATCAGCTCTGTCAGGTTGACGATGCTTAGCATGGTGGTGAAGTTAGTGTTATTCGATCTAGAAGTGTGTTGCTCTTGCAACTCTAACTTCCTCCTGAACTCCGGAACCCAGCGCACACTGACTGGCAAAC